TGCCATTTTAATTCTGTATTTTTCTTTAACTTATTCTGACACTATTTCGTGCAGATATTTTTGTCTTAGTCTCCACAGTGCATAAATTCTGGGTTTGCTGCAGACTGTGGATAAGCCAAGCAGTCCTTCTGCACCTTGGTTGCCTCAGCTTCTAAACGGGAGCAGTAGCAAAGACTGTACCTATTTTTGAACACCTCCATATAGTACAAGCACCTTAATTTTACAAAATCTAAAAATGTGGGTTTAAGGGTTTATCTACTTACTGCCCTCTAACTCCCTATTGCTAAATTTTAGAGAGAAAAAAATAAAAATAACAATAAAACAGTTTTAAAACAGGTCAGTAGGAGATTTACAATAATTAATACATTGCATATTGTTAAAAATTTAAATTTACCCTTCATTTTCCTTATTAGTATTTGTCTGCCATCTAGTGATCCAAGCAGTAACTGCAAGATTAATCGGCTCCTCGGTGCCTCTGGGAGATGATAGTTTGCACTTCTACAGCCTGGTATACTTTCTAGAAAGCATTGCGGGTAAACCAGGCTCACATCTTGAGGTCTCCTCAGATACTCAGTCCTATGGTGTTGCGACCTAGTCCTTCTGCCATGTGATTTTCTGTTGTTTTCTTAGACTTTCTATTTCATGTAAAATGCTTTTCCTTTTTGATGTCACTGGTCTACTTTATTTCATTCACTATGTAGCTATAGGGTCAGGTTCTCTACTAGGATCTTCCTCAATAATTTCTATTCCAGGGCCGGGGATATAGCTCAGCCACACAAGCGCCAGTCTGGCAAGCGCAAGGTTCTGAGTTTGATTCCTGGTACCAAATAATAATAATAATAATTTTCATTTCATACTGTCAAGGTTTTTTCATTAATTTACTATTTTCCCACCTGCATGGCAAGCAGCCTTTGTCATATGAGTATTTACTTCATGAATTTTCAAATATATTAGATGAGTGCCTTATATTTTTATGGAAGCAAAACTGTACAGTTATACATAACCAGAGCTTAACGTCTGAAGATACGTGGCATTTAGTTCTTTATCTCATTTTTAATTATCTGTATCAAAATGATATAAAACTTATTTTGTATGAAGTGTTTTGTATAAAAAATACTATTATGTGATACTGCATCCACAGAAAATTCTTGACTGCACAACCTCTGCGTAACTCATGAACTAACTAATGTTAACACGGCTGCACCAGTTGTGTGTACTTCACAAATTTCTATACCTCCTGATTTGATCCCAGAATTTGCCATTGTTTATCGTATGTGATTACAAGTCTGTTTTGTTAGCAATACTATTTTGCTGACTGATCCTACTTTTCCATTATTAGGAATGCTTCTATTTGATACTTTGATTAGTTTTATTTATTCAGTATTAATTATGAGTCATCTATATAAGCTTCCATCTCTAATGAAAAGATTAAATTCAGTTGTAATCATACAGTGAGGACTAAGAGGGTTTTTCCTATAATGCTTTGTTATGTTTAGTCCTTTAGCACTTCACTCTGTATTTTTAAAGTATCTTGAGAGGAAGATAACCCTCTCAAGGGGAATGTCACCTCCATTTCTCTTACGTGCCTCACTACATGGACATAGTAGCATTCATACAGTGGGTGCTTAGTGGATGTTTATGGGATGCAGAGATGCTAAGATCTGAAATACAATTGAGATGTGGCTGCTGCCTTATTTTCAGGGTGTGCAGCCCCATTTTCAGTAAGTTCTCAATAAATATTTGATTAAGTGCCTTTCTATTTGCTCTCCATTACCCAGACTTGAGAGCTTGGGACCTGTCTTTTGTCTACTGTCCCACCCCCACACCAGCTTCTCAATTCCCACACTTTCCTGCTACATCTCTAATCTCTTCTTCCTCCTTATACCCCTCATCAGTGAGAATCTAACCAGCCTTTTCCTTCTCAGTGTGTTTCTGCCATCTAGTGATCCAAGGGGTAACTGCAGGATTTAATAGGCTTAAAGAATACAGTACTATATACTAACACAAGTTCTAATCCACAGCACACCAGTACTTGTCATTTATTCCCTTGTATGTTCCTTGAGTGTCCAACCTGAGGGATTTTATGCATATTATTACCCCTTCTAATCTGCTTCTCATTACCTACTTTTCACAGCTCAACTCGAACATCTTTCAAGGAAAGACTTACTTTGACCTCTCAGACTAGGGCAAATTTGGGGGCTGGGGATTTAGCTCAGCGGCAAAGCGCCTGCCTGGTAAGCACAAGGTCGTGAGTTTGGTTCCCGGTACCGGAGAAAAACCAAAAAAAAAAAAAAAAGAAAGACTAGGGCAAATTTCTAATAAGTGCTTTCGTAGCAATGACAGTGTCATATAAGCTAACATAAGCTGTAATGTTTATGATTATTTTTGTGATTATGCAATGTAATTCATGTCTGATTTAGTAAAATGTGACATGGATGAGGGCAAGGTCGTCCTGTTCTTGGCCATCACTGTATCCAAGCATACAGCCCAATCCCTGCACATCGAAGGTTTTTCTTTAATGTCTGTGGAGTGGATGAATGGATGTATGTCATACTCTTCTGTGCCCCAGGGATGTTGAAAATGCCTGTGTCAGTCAGTTGCTGCTGCTGTAGAGCAGCAGCATCATAGAGGAATGGAGGAGGAAGGATCTGTCCTGTGGATCCCAGAAATGTGCACATTCTGTAGAAGTGCAATAAATGAGAGTGATTATCTGGAGTGGGAGATCACAATCAGAAGATAGAAAGTTATTCTTTTTTGGTGTCATGATTGAAGTCTCCAAATTCAAGTTTACTGTTATCCACCCAGAATGATAATATTCCGTCTCGAGCACCCATAGCACCCAGACTACTTTAAATGCCATTTCCCACTTGGAGAAATCAGGCTCTTTCCCAAGATCATGTTAAAGAACATAAGAACCAATTGGAAAGGGCACCCGCTGATCAGAGATGGGTTAATTCTTTTAAGTTTTATTTTGAAAGATTTCAGCCGTGTGTAGTAGTAAGAGAAGCATATAAAAGTACCCCTGTATCTCTCATATGGGGTCAGCAGTGGTCAGTACAGGGCCAGCCTTGACAACTTTCCGTCCTCCACTATTAATCCATCCGGAATTATTTGGACATAGAAACCCAAGGGCATATCATTTAACCTGAACATTTTAGAGATGGTACATCTCTAAAAGAAAAAGACTGTTTGTAAATTAAAAGTATGGGCCCAGAGATATAATTCAGTGGCACAGTACCTACCTGGCAAGTGCAAGGTTCTGAGTTCAATTCCCAGTACCAAAAAAAAAAAATTAGAAATATGGTATACTTAAAAGATGGGACAGTTTGAACATCAAGGTAGTAATAACTGGTGGCTTGAACTCTATCAGATATGTATAAATCATGATAATATTTTAAAAACGAAATGCCTCATCCTTAGCGATTGTTAGGACAGTGCCTCATTGCTCTCAAAATCATTGAAACAATGGTTTATCTTTTTTTCCTATATATGTTGCATTTTAGGATAGCCAAGTAATTAAGATGAAGTTCTGCTTTCTAAAAATGCCAACAAATATAGAAGGAATGCTTCAGAAAAGCCTAAGATGGGATAATTTCTAGTAGCTAAAGACGAAGGTATTTCTACACAGCAGCTGTAATGAAGTAGTGGATTTAACCAAGGTTTATCATAAGACAATGACGGTGAATCTTTAGAGACCACGTGCCCAAACCACAGCTCGAAACCCTGTTATTTATTGCAAAGTGCCATCAGTATAATTAATCCTCAGTACTGAGGTTTTACTTTCAAAAAAAAAAAAAACCACAATCTTTTGTCTTAACAAAAACACAATAACAGAACTTTCAGTGGTACAAATAGCCCACTGTGACACATGTGCCATAGGCTCACCACCACTGTCGTAAGATATTAGAACCATCAAGTGAATAGTTGGTGAAGAACTTTATAGTAGGTAGATACAGTAGGTAGATTGGCAAAACCACACCTGGAGCCATTGAGTAATCTTAATACTAACAAAAGTTAGATATCTAAACATTGTGTGTCCACTGATGGAGCTACTAGAAAGCACATATCACCACCCAAGGCATATTCTTGCCAAAACAAACAAATGGTTGCCAGCTAAATCTCTGTTTGTAGCTGCCAGCTTATAGGAGATGAGGATAGACTCCTGTGTCATACAGAAGGCCACAGATGTCAGAAAGAGGGGGAAGTGTGCTGAGTCCTCTGAAAGAGACTAGAGAGAAGTGTCAGCCAAGTTCAGTGGTAATTTCTGTTGAGATTCTGATCTGAAGAAATAAATAAACTGAAGTACTTATGAGTAATAAGGAGATACCAATATGGTCTGGGTAATGCCGGATTTAAAACTGTTGTTAATTTGCTAGGCATGATAATGATATTTTGATTGTGTTAAATTTTTTTAAGTGTATAAAGCGACACTTTCAGTTGAGGCGAAACGTGCTCAGGTTTTGCTCCAAACAGCTTGTGTGACCCTGTTCAGCAGCACTGGCCCTACCCAAGAGCTCAGCAGAAATGCAGAAACTCAGGCCCCAGCAATCCCAGCCACTGCAGAATCAGAATCTGCACTGTTTTCCTGAATCACTAGGAGATTTATATACACATTAAGGACTGAGAAGCACTGCCCTAACTTGGGGTTGGGGAGAGTATGGGTGGAAAAGAAATAAGATTGGCAACTTTTAATAATTATTAAAATTTTGTGATGTGTGCATGGTGGGGAATCGTTGATGTTAAATTAAATATGCTTAATACAGTGTCGTATGTGTGGTCTGCCCAGTGATTTGTTTTCAGTTACTAGTTTGAAGAGTACCTAAGGATTAGATAGACACTATCTGTCCACTTCTGTTTCTTCTTGTCTCAGTTTTCCAAGTTGTTGGGTAGCAAACACTTTTAAAATTGTGTCTGGTCAAAATCACATTATTCTGTTACCATGTGTGAAAGAGATTTCTTTTAATTTACAAATGTCAGTTCACTGTCAATTCTCTGTCTAGGCCCGCTCAAAAAAGTCTCTCCAGAGCCTGGATGGTGCCCTGGATGACGATGATGACGACATTGAAAGAGCAAGCAAGTGGGTAAAGCACCACAGGGCTGTGCTACCTGGTGTGGCTTCATGGCAGAAGTGTTAAGCTTTAGGGTCTCTCAGCGGGTGTGTACTGGAGCTCAGATGTTATCCCTTCCAGTTTGCATCACCGAAAGGAACCGGTGCTCCTTGGAATGTGGTGGGGGACAAGTCTTGGGACAGGAAAGGGAGCCAGGCCTGCAGTCCCTTGTCCTTGGGAAGCACCAGTGTCTACCGAGATGTGGGGGCAGGGATTGAGTCCACCTGCGTTAGGCTCACACCCTCCATATAAAGGGAAATTTAGAAAAAAGTGTTAAAATTAATTTTAAGTAAATAATAGGAGATATTGATCTTTATAATTTTAAGATACATGAAGATGATAAAATGGGCATTCTTTTTTCTTCATTAAGTAAATCTATATAAAGCAATTACTTCTTTAGAATGAGTAAGTAAATAGGAAAAGGAAACCCATATAATATTGAAAGTGAACTTGAGCTACAACAAACTTTTCAAGTATTCAGTCCAAGGTAAAGGTTCCAATCCCACAGAGTTAGGGTGAGTGAACAGCCGGGCCTCTTTCTCCAGATTGCTAAGTTACCATGGACTTTTTGTTTGTTCATGATACACACACTTAAAATTTCCAGTATTTGAGGTGGTAGATGCACAATGATAAAGACTTTGCCCATGAACCAGTTACTGAAATAGCGTTTTGATTTTAAACAGCTCACTGACTGCAGTTGGTGGGAAGGTGCTTGCACACAGCATATGGTGTATGTGTCTGCTATTGTATGTCTTGTTCTCTTCAGGTTATCTTCTGAAGATGGCGAAGAAGCTTCTGCTTATTTTTATGAAAGTGATGATTCTGTTGAGACAAGAATGAAGACTCCTTATTCAGGCGAAATGGACTTATTAGGAGAGATCCTCGATACACTGAGCACACACAGCTCAGATCAAGGAAAACTGGCAGCTGCGAAGAGCTTGGATTTCTTTAGATCAATGGATGACATTGACTACAAACCTACGGTCAGTTGATTTTTCAGCTTATAAAATTAAATGAATGCAGCCCTCCCCTTGCTGTGGCTGTCTGATCTTATAATCTTCGTTGCTGGAAGTGTTTAACCTCTAAGTAGGGATCCAAACTGCAAAAATATGGTAAAATGTAATTACTAAGGATTACTTACAGTAACATAACTCCAAAATTTTCCTTTTCATATATCCAGCTGTGTGTTTTGTCATTATTGGAAATTATTTTTGTCCAGTGGCAATATTTTTTGTTTTTGTCTCCACTGTTGTTATTTTGTTATTATTTTTTCTGTTTAAAATTAAAAAATAAAAATGAAAAAAAGAAATCAAGTTTTATAGCTATCTTCTGGGGGCAATTTTTAAAGTGTGAAATTGTCTTATTTTTTTCCCTTTAATTCCAAGGCTTTTTAAAAAATAAATATGTTTGTTCAAGTTTTTTTCTTTTTTCCATCTTCTTGCTTCGAAAATGAACAATGTTTTAAAAAATGGAATTGAATTTTTTAAATGCATTTGAGATAGAAGTATGAGCTATGGCAACCCGGTGTGATTGAGAGAGTCTCCAGAACTTGGCTTTAATTACTGTATGTGGTCTAGTTTGAATTTGGCAGGTGGTGATTATAAGGACACGGAAACCGAAGCCCATCTAATTTCAGTCCTCTTCATGCAACTATTCAGAGGTGTCAGAATTAACTGTCAATCCTATATTTTTTCTGGGAGAAGCTTCCGGTTCCCAGCCTTGAAAACGAACGTTGATTTCAAAATGGAAAAAATACTAGAATAATAATTTTATTAAAAGTATTCTGAACTTGTTTCTTTTTTCAGAATAAATCCAATGCTCCTAGTGAGAATAACCTGGCCCTCTTCTCTGGTGGCTCTGGGGATCAAGCAGAGTGGAATCTTGGGCAGGATGATAGTGCCCTCCATGGCAAACACCTCCCTCCGTCTCCCAAGAAGCAGGTTTCCTCTAGTGCTTTGACAGAGTCTCTGTTTATCTTGAAAGAGGAAAACAGTGATAAACACCTCAGTGCTGACAATGTATGTGGCCCTAATGTGGTGGAAAACCCAGCTTCTGCTTCAGGGTTGGATTTCCAGCGAGCTCCCCCTAAAGTTTCCCACACTGATAAAGGAGAAACAGAAAAGAAGGAAACACTAAGCCAGATTTCAGATGATCTGTTTACGCCCAGCCTTGGGAGATACCCATCTACTTCTGTTCCTTGGGAGAAAGAAGGGAAAGAAGTCAGTGAGAATTCAGCAGATCTTGGACTGCTCCATGAAGTAGTGTCATTGTATCACGTGTCATCTGACTCCAGGCAAGACTCAAGCATTTCAAAAGGCAGTGTAAGTGGAAACTGAGCTCAAGTCTCCCGTGAAGGATCTATCACTTGCGTCTAAACTTCCAGGAAGCATTTGGAGACTCCCTGTAATCTGTATAGTGAATAGAACTATTTGTAAGGATGGAAACTCTTTTCTGCTATTTATTTTGGAGGAAACATTTCCCTCTCTAGTGCATCTCATGAATATGTTATCCATTGATTTTTAAATGTAAAGTGAAGTCTACTGTGCTATGAAATCAGGTACTAGTTTGTATGCATGTTCAAAGGATATGTTGTTGAACATATAATTTCCCAGTAATTGGTGCTTAATGCCATTCATTTTGTGTAAAGTAAATAAGCATATATAATCCTACACGTAACCAGTAGCTACTGTGTTAATCTGGTTGAGCATGAACTGATCGAGATATCACAGTTTATCAAAACTAGCCTGAAACTGATAAAACTCTTAATCCACTAATTGCCTTAATCTTACAGCTCTATCAACCATACTTAAATAACTTTTAAAATTACGTATAGAGTTGGAAAGAGAAGTTATTTTGTTTTGCAGAGCAATAATGCCTTTTTCTACTCATCAAATTAAGATCCAATTTAATTTTTTTCAAGGTCTGTAGCTCTCTTGTGGAAATATTTGCTTTTATAAGGATACTGTAGCCATGTTTCTCACAGTGTAAAAAGGTATAAATGTACCTTTCACTCAGTGACATATATGAAGTGCTTAGTTGTAGTGGGAACTTAATGACTTGTGTTTACAAAGGAGACACTTAAAAATGTTTGTAGTCTCTCTCTATGCCTTTGCTATCTGCAGTCCCCCTCAAGAAAGCCAGATGTAACACAAGCTGTCCTGGCAAAAAATGTTCTTTTTTCCTTAATTAATATTTTTCTGTCAAAAATGCTTCATGTTTTTACCTCAGTTACATTTTACAATAATTGACTGTATTTTAGAAGTTTTAGATTTATGGAAAAATTGCAGAATTAATAGAGAGCTCCATACATCCTTGCACCCAAGTTCTCTGGTAATATCTTAAATTAACATGGTACATTTACCACAATTAATGAGCCGGTATGACTTTTTTCCATGGCTTTATCCCACCAGTAGTATCTGTTTTCTGTTCCAGGATACCACATTACATATAGTTGTCATGTCGCCTTAGTTTCCTCTTGGTTGTAGCAGTTTATTAGACTTTACTGACCTTGACAGTTTTGAGGACTATTGGAAAGATAAATCACACTGTGCCCTTCTCTTAGTGTTTGTCTAATATATTGCTTACAAATTAGATTTCTCACAAATGGGCTTTGGGAAGAAGAGTACAGCAGTGAACTGCTGTTTTCATCACATGCTATCAAGGGTGTGTTCTGCCCACTTGTTTATGAATGTTAACATTGACTTTGACGGCCTGGCAGAGGTAATGGTTGTCAGGTTTCTTTACTGGAAACTTAGCACCACCCCCCTTTTCATACCGTGGTCTTTGGAATGGAGTCACTATGAGCAGCCCACACATTTCCTCTAACGCAGAGGAGTATCAAATCAATTACTTGGCATTATTTATGGAAGATGTATCCCCCTCAAAGTTACTGATAAGCTTTGGAGTTCATCTGAGAAGGAATCATATACAGTTTCTTCATGATAGGCTAGACTGCCAGGAATAGTCAGGAAAAAATCTCAGTGATGTTATGGATAATTTTTATTTCTATGTTCATTCAAATATTCTGTACATCATAATCTTGATTTTTTTAAAAAATATCTCTTTTTTAGGAAAAGCGTTCAAGAAACCATTCAAGAATCCCAGTAAGATTGTACTGTAAAAGTGTTTACTGATGGAATATAATTTCCTTTAAAATCTTAGAAGGAGATTTGTCAAAAATATTGCTTACAATATTTATTTAGGTCATTTTTAAAGAAAATGACCAAATATTTTTAAATCTACATTCCATAATCTAAATGAATATATTGTATTTGGGATAGTTATTCACTTACAGGAAGATAAGTCTAGTTTTATCCTAGGGTAGATTCTATAATCCTTTTTTAAAACACAAAAGTAAGATTCAAATTCTTGTCAAACTTTGCTTTTTTGCTCATTACAAATTTGAATATACATCAGTGAAATACATAATAAAAAGGTCCTTGTATGAGTTTTTTAAGTAACAAAGAGAAAAGGTTACCCTAGTGGTCAATCTGATTGACAAATATTCCTTCTTAATTTGTGAAAAAAATTCAAAATAACATTTACTATCAATTTTGAAATGAAGCAAGTTTCTTTTCTCTCTTTTCACAACTCATAGTCTCAAGAATGAGATAATCAGGAGTGTAGCATGGACAAGGTTTGGGTTTCAGTCCATTTACTTAACAAACATTGTGGCTGTGGATTTCCTATCTTCAGCCATCTCACAAGATGTTTGGCTATCACATTATGCTGTTTAGAGGATATTAAGCCATTCACAGATGATGAAATTGTCTTAAGGGATTTTAAAGTGATTTGTGCCTTATTTTAAACGTACAAAATTACCTATTTTACTCTGTCAAAAACAAAAAAAAAGGAAAAACAAAACTCTACCTGTTATTCTTAAAAACAGTCCAGAAAAATAGTAGCAATTATTAGTATTTCAAACCATGTTACCTTGACTTCCCAGTGTTATGGTGGATACTGAGAATGAAGTGAAATTAGGGTGAGTTCTTAAATAAGGAAACAAAAGTGTTGTTTTCTACTGTGCTCATATTTTCTATTATAACCTAACCAGTCTTTTTCGGTCTCACTGTTGTTTGTTATTTTTCAAAGGAGCAATACCTGGTCTATGACAGAATTATATAAATTAAGGCTTGCTACATACATACTCTTTCATATAACCTCTGAATTAGGTCATGATTTTTCTGAATCCTACCCCAGCTATTGTCCTTCTGCCCATAAATATTGTTCCTATGATATTTCAAGGGGACACAGAAGTATTATGTCCGTCTAGGAGCTGTTATTTTGTTGAGTGAAAGTGTTGCTAAGTTGTATATGTTGATGTTTACCTACTTTGGCATACCTTTGAAAGGCACCAAAATATAGTATGATTATCATGCCAATGGCAAATGTCTTCATTTACAAAATATTTATGGACTTTTTGCACAAGTCATGTGCAAGGTATGATAACTGAAGGTGTGGGGAAATAAAATAACTGGCATGATCCATGCTCTGAAGAAATCAATTAAAAGGAATTGTAAATGTTTTGAAATGATGATAGTGGTGTGATAATAATAATGTACTCTGCTTACAGGTTACTACCCCAAGATTCTGTCGCCAAAAAAGTTGTTTTGCTGTTTAATCAAAAGCATGTTCTAAATACAATACCGTTTCTAATTTCATTAACTTTCTTAGTTATTATGTTAATTATAATAATGCTGCTAAAACATTCACTTTTAAAGGACAGAGTTAGAGATGTTTTCCGAAGCTCAGTGTCCTTGTTTACCTGATTCTCCTTCAGCTGAGCAGGCACCTGTAGGGAAAGATGTTCCTTTTCAAAACTTAGGGCCACCCTGCTCAGTTTAGTAATAACTGGTACAGAATCCCATCTTTTCTTGTTTAAGATCATGCTAATAAGGTTCTCCAGAACCAGTCCCTCCCTTTTAAATTGAAACTGTATGTGACAATGCTGTAATTGGGATTTTATCCTAATATCTTAGTAGTAGGATTCAGGAATGCTAATGAATTAGTTGTTTAGTAATAGTGAAGAAGTAGACTTCTGATCAAGAAAAGAAAACTGTGAATATTCTTATCCATTGACCTTCATTCTCTATTTGAATTTTCAGGAGAAGATTAATTACTTTCATGAATAACTTTTCCAGTAAGAATTCTATTTGATTCTGAATGAGAAAATATTTGTAAATCAGAATATAAACTTAGGAATGTAAAATGAATCCCAAAATTTAGTTTTCCTCAAAACACTTCTTAGTATAGGAAATAGTTTCTAGAAATCGTACGTCATTATTAACACCTTTGCTACATCAAGCCTAGTGATATTGTTAATGTACGTTTCTTAAAGCTTCTTTAAGAGGCACAATGGTTCTGAGCAAATCAATGAACTTTTGATTTGGTCAATAAATAGGAAATTATGTAAATTTAGACAAAAAATTTATTTGAAAAATAATAGTATTTTGTGCAATATTTTTTTCTTGCATAGTTTAGTTCATGTAGATATACACATCTGCCTTTCAAGCAGATGCCTTAAGGTCATGTTTTTCAGTATTTGTGTAAAACTGTATGTAGCAATGTTCTGTGTGATTTTAGAAAAGAACAGTCTTTATATTGTTGGAAGGAAAAATGTTATTGTTTATTTAAAATAATTATGGATGTTCCAATACTGTATTATAACTAACTGCCTCAGTGACAATAAATATGCAATAAGAAAATCCTGTACCTTAGATTAATATTGACTATACTGTTATTTTAAAAGAAATGTTTATGGTACAAAGTGCTGATTCTACATGTGTATGCTTAAGTACTCTGTTCTGCACCACAGAAATCGAAATGGCATTTGTATGGTGATGACCATGTATGTTGAGTGTAACATCTTTTATGATGTATCTTTGCTAAGATTTATAAAGGGCATTGCCAATACTTTTAACTGTCAGTAAATTAATTTTTTGTATGATGTACAGTTTGTTTAACCTTAGAGCTTCTATAGATTTTTACTTTTATTATACTTGAATGAGGCAAATGCACTGTGGAAATTTGTAGCTCTGGATGCAATATGCAAATATACCAAAAAATATAATAAAACCAGGTACTGAACAACGTTCACAGAATGTTTTATATCCAGAATGCTGTTTTTTCAAGTCACACTTAAATGAAGTAATTGAAGATATGCAATCTTTGGTCTTCAAAGGTTGTAAAATCACAAATGATTACCTCTTTGATATGACAAACTTTTAAGTCTCTTCATTTCTGCTCAGTCGTTCTCGGATGAGAGCCTTGGAAAGGTCCGTCGGAGAGCTCAGCCTCTGGTTGACTGTAGATGTTTAGGACAGAACAGATTGAGAACTCTGGGCATGTTCAATGGACCGCATGCATCCTCACTATCTGTTAGATGGGCGAGCTTTCATAGGTTATTTTGAGAACTACTTAATAATATAGCAAAACTAGATTTTTAAAATCTGATGATTTTGCTGTGCTTAAAACAGCAACTAATATGAACTGCATGACTCCTACAATTTGATGTGCACAAAGCTGTTTTACACGAAAGCCACATGATGGGTTCAAATTGAACCTTTCCAAAGCTTTTTTTTTTTTTTGCTTTATACGAAAAGCTGTTTTAAAGGACTGAAAATCTTGAACTTTTTACTCAGCCAAGCAACAGATACCTGTAAAAACCTACCCAGCATTGTGACTTTCTGTATTTTTTTTGCATCCCTGATATTACAGTATAAATCACCTCCAAGGTGGACTACTATTAAGAGGTTGTTATGTACAAAAGTATTGCTTTGGGAATTTTTTAAATATGCAAAATAAATATTGGATGAACTCAGTATTCCAACCAATAAAGTACCCAACAATGCAGTTATAAAATAAAATTGGTCACAAACAAACTTTGCATGGTGTTAACTCTTCTTTTATAATTGGTTAGTTTATCGCTCTTAGTGGTCTAGGTTGAATGACTGTGCAGACCCTCCCACCTCCAACTCTATAACAGCATGAATTGAAGTGTAAATCTAACATGGACTTCATGAAAACTACTTTTACTGTACGTCCAGTAAACTTAATAGGCTTTAAAAGTCATGGTCAAATAGTAAAATATTGTAGTTAGCATATCACTCATTATAATATCTGAGGACTGTTCATGTAAAAAAAACCCTGTGTGTACTGACCCAAATTTAAGGTTTGAAGACCAAGATTAAATAGAGTCAAGTATACACAGACAGTAATGCAGGGACCAGAAGGATGAACTTCTCATCTGAGAGTTATGAAGGTCAAGGTGCTATTGAAATAAATGTTTCCTATAGGGCTCAGAAGTCCTGGGAATCCTGCAATGTGTGGAACGTCTCATTTTCATAGAAAAAGCAAAGTTCTGAATCCTGCAAGCCTAGGATTTAGCTGTCTTTTATTGATTTTAATTGTTAGCACTTGGCCTTCTTCAGATTTTTCTCAGTACCTCTCAGGGTCTGTATATGAAAGAAAGTCATATCTTAATTTTGTGACTTGGAAATTAAAAACTCCGTTGGATTGTCTTTATGTATAAATGAGAGAAAATACCCCTTAAAAGTAGTAGGTAGTAACTCTCAGAACCTCTTTCCTAGAATTAAGGCTGAATCACAAGACATAAAAATTTCTATATGTTATAAGGTGTTATATCACGGAAGGTAAATAACCTTCTGCAGGTTCTGCCATTGATTTTGACCCACTAACTTCCCTGAAACTTTATTTCTCTGCCTTTAAAGTGTCGTTAGAATTATTTTTTAAAAATTTTTTATGAAAATAGCAGCTATCATATGATTTGAGGGCCAGAAAATATTCCTCAGTATCCATTTGCTTTTGAAGTCATGGTGATTTGGTGTCTACAACTATAAAACATAATTATAAAATCTTAGATTTTTATCTAATCCAGTGGTTCCTAAATATAGTTTTCATTAGAATCAACTGGAGAACTTTAAAACAAAACATAAAAGCAGATGCTTGACCACGCTGTTAGTTTCTAAAGTACTGTGGTTATTTCCTTAAAGACGACAAACTGAGGTACACACAGGATCAGTGATATCCTTAAAATCCTGTACCATCAAATGTTCAAGCTGGGGTTTGAATCCAGTTGTTTGACTGCAGCCTTCAAATGAATACACAGAAATGCAGGACAGAACTTAAAAGCCATGTCCAACATGGACTCCTTTTCTGTCTCAACTATCCCCTTTAAGTATTGCATAATCCTTTGACAAATCTATTTATTTAAATCTTGAGTCCTAAATTTCCTGGTGTCTTTTGGGGAGATTCAAACAATGTTTGGCTTCTCTTTTTAAATTTTTCTTTGTACTTTTCATGCTCCTCTGCTCAGCCTTTAGTTCCATCTCAAATAATGTTTTGTACATGCACACATTCTCTCTGCTGTCTTTTTCCTCCTTCTCCACCCACCTTACTTCTTGCGTGTGTTGGTGAACAGAAATGGGAAGTCCCCGCTGGGTTATACGGGATAACAAGAGTGTGCTTGGTGTCATATCTATTCATTTGGAAAAAAATTAAGGTGTGACATGAATTTTTAAATATGGAGCCACTCTCATTGAAAACATCTGAATAGTCCTTGTGGAATATCCACAGATGTCATCTACTCCTTTTTTTATCTCATGTTCAAAAATAATCTCTAAAGACAACCTATTATTCTTAGTTTTGTTGTTTTATAATCAAACCTCCTTCAATATGAAGAATGTTTCATATATGGTATTCTGGAGTAACAACCATTGAAAACATTATGATTTACAAATTACCTTTTTCCACTCTAGTTTCTAAGAGACTCACTTGGAGATTTTAAAGTACACCAGGAACACTCATTTCATATTCCATTGTTTCCCCCCAAATCTAGCAATTAAATTGTGTTTTAAAGTAAAGGCTAAGCTTTCTGAAATTTGATAAATGTCCAAATTGGATACAATCCATTAGGCAAAATTCCCAATTTGTGAAACAGATGCTAGCAATGCTCTGCTGTATCTCGTAGTTTCCTGTATATTGACAGAGTGTTAGAAAATTTGAATTTCTCATATCCCAGTTATCCTTTACCTATGAGTGCTTTCCTATCAATTCTCAATGTCTATCATATCTCCTAGATTAAATTAACTCTTTAGGGAAAGAAGGAGAAAGTTTATATATATATGTATATGCAGGATAGTTAACACGGGTGTTCTACTGTCCTGTATTTCCTGTATTTCCTTGCTGAAAGAAACTGTCAGTGAGGCATTGGTTGATTAGCTTTGTATGTCTATATGTG